CAGCCTACAGTTGAACTGCTCCTTACTGCTGTCCAGGCTGCCTGTGTATGGCTTCATAAGCCATGGGAGGATAACTATTGGCATTTCAACATCCCCAACGGTAATTTTCTGGTCTGGGAAGAAAGTTCCTTCTTGCAGCTTTCCTTAGCAAAAGGGTACTGATTGCCCTGGCTACTTGGATCACAGCAGCCCCCAACGCAGACTTGCCCACTCCGAATTGATTACCAACTGATTGGTAGCAGTCAGGCATTGCAAGCTTCCACAAGGCTATCGCCACTTGCTTCTCAACTGTCAGGGCAGATCTCATCTTGGTATTCTGGTGCTTCAGAGCGGGGGAAAGAAACTCACAAAGTTCCATGAAAGTGGCCTTACGCATGTGAAAGTTTCGCAGCCACTGGGAATCATCCCATACCTGGCAACACTATGCGGTCCCACCAGTTTGTGCTTGTTTGCCAGGCCCGGAATCGGCGTTCCACTGTATCAACATGCCCCAATGTCGCCATGATATCCCAATTGCCACATTCCGTGCTTTCAGGAACGTCTGTGTCCATGTCCTACTCACAATCTTCCTTGCGCTGGCAGCTCCTAGCTAGGCTCTGCACATACTGCAGGATAATGCGCGAGGTATTTACAATGCTCACAAAAGCAGTGTGCAGCTGAGCGGGCTCCATGGTTGCCGTGCTATGGCATCTGCACAGGTAACCCAGGAAAAAAGGCACTAAATGATTATTTGCCATTGCATTCAAGGAGGGAGGAAGGAAGGAAGGAGACTGTACCCAAAATCACCCGTGACAATGTTTTTGCCCCATCAGGCATTGGGAGCTTAACCCAGAATTCCAATGGGCAGCAAGGACTGTGGGATAGCTACCCACAGTTCACCACTCCATGAGTCGATGCTAGCCACAGTATTGAGAACGCACTCCGCCAACCTAATGCGCTTAGTGGGGACATGCACGATCAACTGTAAATCGGTTACTAAAGATCGACGTCTATAAAATCAACCTAATATCGTAGTGTAGACATGTCCTGAGATACACAGTTGAGGGAAGTTTGCATTGCTATGGTCTATTACAGGGGTAGGCAACCTATGGCACATATGCCAAAGGCGGCATGTGAGCTGATTTTCAGTGGCACTCACACTGCCCGGGTCCTGGCCACCGGTCTGGGGGGCTCTACATTTTAATTTAATTTTAAATGAAGCTTCTTAAACATTTTAAAAACCTTATTTACTTTACATACAACAATAGTTTAGTTATATATTATAGACTTATAGAAAGAGACCTTATAAAAAGCTTAAAATGTATTACTGGCACACGAAACCTTAAATTAGAGTGAATAAATGAAGACTCGGCACACCACTTCTGAAAGGTTGCCGACCCCTGGTCTATTATCGCTACCTCTTCTGGGGATTGAGGATTTCATTATCCAGGGCCATTAATGACATTTTACAAATGATAAAAACACACAAGGCCAAACTCACCCCAGCATAATTGCATTGGAGTCAATGGAGTTACAGCAGACCCATGACGCTTTTTAAAATATGTGTAAAAAGGTTGTGATTTTTTAAATGGAGGGTAACATCAGCTTCCTATTATCCATTGCCCAATTTATAAGTCCACTGGATCATTAGAAAACACAGCAATATAATGAGTTAGGCTCATGAGGGTTAAATATCAACCACAAAGAAAAAACAGTGTTTATAAACCATTATGAGCTAGAAAATTGAAATATTGAAAAAACAGATGGAAAAGAAAGAGAAAGCCACAATAAAATCCCTTTAGCCTACACATCTTCTTGAACAATTTTCAACTACTAGAGAGGCCCAATAAACCATATAAGATTTGAAGGCTTTGTTTATCATTGTCACAGACAGCATTTGGTCAGTCATTCTCGGAGCTGGATTTGTTAGATTTAAACGACACCAGCCAGTATAACTCAAGCTCTGCAAAAGCCAATTCACTGGTTGCTCAGTAGCAAGTGCAAAATAAATGAGTTACAAACAACTCTTTTTGCCCCCACTTACTGAAAAACTATCGTTTTGGGCTCAAGTTTTCCATGCTTGATCTTAGCTGAAACATGATGTATTTAAGAACATATGGAGAGAATCGATTTAATTGTTTTTTAGTTAAATTAGGCCAGGGTGTGGGTATTGAATATTAACGTTCCATATTCTTAAAGGTGACTCACAAACAGGGGGAAAAAAATGGGTTTATGCCCTCTCTGTTCAGGGTGGGCATAAAGGCCTGAAAAGTGGCCTTTTTTAACTGGGGGAGTTACTATTCCTTAGAAATCAGTAATATCAAGTCTTCTCTTCCCTTTTCTGAAGGTCTTCTTGGAGGACCAGAGAACACAAAGCTTTCTCAGACCTTAACTGAAGGGGCAGAAGAGTTGAATTTTTAACAGAGATTTTTTTCTTTCTAACTATTTGTCATGTATTTGAGTTAAACAGAAGAGGGCATTAAAAAAAAAAAAAAAAAAGCCAAGAGTTTTAAATAGCGTCTTTCCTCCCTCAATCGCTCAGACTGAGGAGGGCCGCTGATAGCCTTAATTATAATATACCACCTTGGGGGAAGCTAAGATTTTGCCACCAATATTTTTCGTAAAAGTCACGGACAGGTCACGGGCAAAAAAGAAAAATTCACAGAAGCCATGACCTGTCCGTGACTTTTATGAAAAATATCTGTGACAAAATGGGGGTCTGTGGGTCCCCACACCACCTGAAGCCGGCAGTGACCAGGAGCTCAGGGGTACCCTGTGGCAGCCGGGAGTTGCGGGGTACCCTGCTGCCTGCCCCGCTGCCTGCAGCAGCTTGCAGCTCTGGGGGCCACCAGAGGCAGTGGGGGTACCCCGCCGCTCCCTGCCCCTGTGGCAGCGGGGAACCCTGCAGCTCCTGACCACCGCAGGCTGAAGTCATAGAGGTCACTGGAAGTCATGGATTCCGTGACTAAATCATAGTCTTAATTATAATTGCCTCTGAGAATAAGAAAAGCACTCAAACTAGAGAGACAGTGTGCTAGGAGTACCTAGAAAGAGCAAGCGGCAGAGTGGCCATCACATCAGCAACCTGACCTGAGTATTGGGAGGAAGCTTCAAGTGTAATTAGACACCTTCTAGCTGTGGACTAATTGGAGGCCCAAATCAAGTCTGGAGGCAACAACCTGACAGGATTCTCAGCACTCACCCCTTCCAGTAGTTGAGGGGTGGAGACTTCTCAACAGAGCAATGCCTCTGGATTTATTTGATGGACCCCTTCAAATCCTCCCTCGTGTACTTTGCATCATTCTCCAGATAGCAAGTGCCTGGATACTGTACATTCTTAGGATTCCAGTTTAGTGACATATTTTGCCTAGGAACAAGTTATTTATACTACATTAGTGCCCACAGGCCCAACTCAGGATCAGGGCCCCATCATGTTGTGAAGAGACTCAAGACATCTCACAGCCTATGGTTGGTCTCTATTACTGCCCTCCCCCTACCCCCTTGGTACTTCATCCTGCTTCTATTTTGAACTGTATTATGCAGACTGCTAGCACCACATAGCTATAATGCCAACTTTCAATGGCAAATCACTAGGTCTGCTATGCTCTTTGCAAAATTTGATCTCTGGAATTTGCTATCTGCCAGTTAGTAAGATCAAAGCAGATAGTCATTTGCATTTTCATATCAAAGACAGCACTCCTTGAGCAGGCTAAAGTAGTGATGTTGCTGGGGGTGATAAAGGGGATGAAAGGCCAAATGCATTCAAAGTTTACCCTTTAGTGTCCCCAAAAGATTTCAAGTCATCCAAAAACCTCACTGTAACTTAAGAGTTATTTGTTCACAGCTTTCTGCTTACCTATTGTACACAGAGTACCCGCAAGCCGTTCTTTTTTAGGGGCTAAAAGGGAGTGGGAAGTACCTAATTTACCAACATAATAGGGGGTGACCCAGAGCCACTTTTGTTCTTTTGTAATAGAATCAGAGCAATTATTTTTGACCCCACCCCCAATTCCTTTGCTCAAGGATGTGTTGTACCATATTCCGGTAGAGGTTGGGAGTCACAAGAGAATTGCATTGAGGAACCTTCTGTGCGAAGACATGATTTCCCCTCTTCTATATTATAGCGCAGCACCCTGGAACCTCCCACAACAAGACACGACTGCATCCCCTCTGCTGTATCACAGCACAGCACCAAGGAACCTCCTGCACTGACACACAAGTTCTTTATATTCATACAGTTTCTCTCCCAACACATCTTTTGGGAAAGACATTACACTTTGATGCTAGATTAACAATGGATTCCTAGAGGGCCTCCCTGTAGTCTTCCAGTGCCTGCTCAATGCAGGCATATGAAAAACAGCACCATTTACGAATAGGGCTTCCTAACCAAAACAGATGCAGGTGACTGTGAGTAGATCCAAGGACATTCAAACTGAAACCCCACATGTTCCATCTTTGGCTATAAACACATTCATCTCGCAAAAGAAACTCTGGAGGATCTGTACAATATTTAGCTAGTACGTGCCCACCACTGGTAGACAGGAAAATGGGGCGGGGGGAAGGGGGGCACCAGAAAGTGGATTCAGTGTGAAGCACTTTTTTTCTCTGATTTACCAATAAGCCAGAGCCCTCAACAGGATGCAATGGGCCATTTGTGGTGCCGGAAGTACTATGTTTTAGAGGATATCAAGCCCATTTTTGTTCATTAAAGTTCACATAAAGCTTTTCCCAAGGGTGTGCTAGCCCTGGCATCCCGATCACACTCCACCTTGGGTAGCTACATTTTGCCTCCCTCAATTCCCCCTGCAGTCATATTGTCCCGGTATTCATCTGCCAGGCCTGTCCCAGAGCGCTGCAGGCTTGGTGAGCTGCGCACTGCCCCCCAGAGCGGGGGTTTCTGGGCCAGCCACGGGCTCGCTCTGGCGCTAGCGGGCGCGTTGGGAAGGCGCGGGGCACTGCCCGTCACCGGGAGGGTTGGGAGCCCCAGGCCAGCAGGCGCAGGACGCCCCGTTTCCGGTTACCTCACAGTTGAACTCCATCTCGGCGTCCATGGTAATAATCCGCACCGTGAAGGTTTTCGGCTGTTTTCGCTTCAGGGAGCTGAAGCTCATCCGAGACGCGATGGCACCGGCCATGGTGAGGCGCTGGGGGAAGGGCTGAGAAGGCCCAAAGCCCGGAGGGGAGCCGGGGCCGGGGGCAGCACAAGGCCCTAGCAGGTCAGCCAACCCCCCCGGCTCGCAGCGGGGGGCAGCGCAAGGCAAGCGGGGGGCAGGGACGTTGCATCAGCCTGACTCCGGGCCCACAGCTCACCCCAGCACTCCTGCCTTGAGAGCTGGGCGGCGGGCGGCGGGCTCGGGAGCCTGGCGAGACCTGGGTCGGGCCCTGGCCCGCAGCGCGGGACGACCTCCACAGCTCCGGGGGCCGCTCGAGGATCGGGCCCTACCGGGGGGCGGGGCTGCTCTCAGGGGCGGGGGTCCACAAGAAGCAGAGCCGGGCAGGAACCAGCGCTACCTGCCTCACAAAGCTCCGCTCGCCTCAGCCAGCGCAGCCTAACCGCACCGCACCGCTCTCCGCCATTGGCCCAGTAGCCCGCCAGGGGCGGGACACCGCCCTTCCTCCCGCCTCCTGGAGGGGCATCTCAGCCAATAGGACGTTCCTCCCGCCTAGACTTCGGAGTTATCTACATTTGACTGGCTATTGGCGCTGCCATTCGGTAGCCTTTTGTTCCCATACGGTCCCGCCTTCCCAGCAGGGTTGGTTGAGAGACTGCTGAGCAAGGCAGGCCCCTGGCGGGAAGGCGAAGCACGGGCTCTGGCTCCCCCTAGCGGTAGCCCTAACCCTGCTCAGCCTCACGCCCGGGGGTCCCCTCTAAGACCGCGAACCGGGAGGAAACTTCACAGCAGCACACATGGGCAGGGCAGGAGTGCTGAAACAATTCTTATAGTGGGGGGTGTTGATCATGGAAACCACGTATTTGGTGTTTGTTATTACTACTTCAAGTGAGGGGGGCAACAGCATCCCTAGTTCCAGCACCACTGTACATGGGATGTGGGGGGGCTCACAAATCTGTGCGTGCTCATGTTTGCCCCCGCCACAGCAGACTGATAGGATAGCACTATGTGTCATCGTCACGTCAGCATCACACCAGGACGACAGCCGTGCAAGACACTATGATGTTGCACGGCACAGTAAAAACATTGTTTACACATACCCTTGGAAGGATTCGATTTTTATTGGTAAACATCAATTTCACCATGTACACACACAGACCCATGCAAAAACATCCCCATCAGTAATAATCAAAACTGGCAGATAGGTAAAAGAAGAAAAATGCTGCCTCAGAACTTATCAGAGCTTGAGTTAAAGATACTTTGTCTATTTTGACATGTGATGTTGACAATTGGTGCTTTAACAGTCATAGAGCTTTAACGTTCTGAATTTCATCGTCTCTTGCCATTAAATAATTATTGTCTCAGCTGCCCTGCCCAGAATTTCCTGCAACTGTAAACATTTTGATGGATCAAAAATTGAAAAATATGTTTAAAATCCATAATTGTAAATGTAAATAGACAAAAAATTAAAAATAAATGCTTATAAATAAACATTGATATTATCCATCAAAATGTTTACACTTGATTTTAGCCAAAAGGCTGAGAAGTGATATCAGTTGAAATTATTGAAAAAAAGAAATTGAAATTGAATTTTGCCAAGCCTACTCACAGGCTAGCACTAGTAGAGCAAACTCCAGAAGGTGGCTGGCAAACCTGAGCTAGAAATTTTACATGTAGCAAGAGTAGTGTCTACAGACTCATGGATTCTATTCCAACTTCTGCCACGCTCACCGTGAGATCTTAGGCCTGGTCTACACTATGACTTTAGGTCAAATTTAGCAGCGTTAAATCGAATTAACCCTGCATCCATCCACACAACGAAACCATTTACTTCGACATAAAGGGCTCTTAAAATCGATTTCTGTACTCCTCTCTGACGAGGGGAGTAGGGCTGAAATCAACATTGCCGGTTTTAATTAGGGTTAATGTGGACGAAATTAGACAGTATTGGCCTCTGGGAGCTATCCCACAGTGCACCACTGTGACCGCTCTGGACAGCAATCTGAACTCGGATGCACTGGCCAGGTAGACAGGAAAAGCCTCGCGAACTTTTGAATTTCATTTCCTGTTTGTCCAGCGTGGAGAGCACAGGTGACCACGCAGAGCTCATCAGCACAGGTAACCATGCAGTCCGAGAATCGAAAAAGAACACCAGCATGGACCGTATGGGAGGTACTGGATCTGATCGCTATACGGGGAGAGGATTCCGTGCTAGGAGAACTAAGTTCCAAAAGACTAAATGCCAAAACATTTGAAAAAATCTCCAAGGGCATGATGGAGAGAGGCCACAATAGGGACTCATATCAGTGCCACGTGAAAGTTAAGGAGCTCAGAGAAGTGTACCAAAAAACCAAAGAAGCAAACGGAAGGTCCGGGGGAGAGCCACAGACATGTCGCTTCTATGCTGAGCTGCATGCAATTCTAGGGGAGGGCCACCCCTACTACCCCACCCCTGACCGTGGATTCCAAAGAGGGGGTACTCTCAGCCATGCCTGAGGATTCTGCGGATGGGGAAGATGAGGAGGAGGACAAGCTTGCGGAGAGCACACAGCACTCCGTTCTCCCCAACAGCCAGGATCTTTTTCTCAGCCTGACTGAAGTACCCTCCCAACCCTCCATCCCAGACCATGAACCCATGGAAGGGACCTCAGATGAGTGTACCTTTGTAGATATAAAACATGGTTTAAAAGCAAGCGTTTTTAAATGATTAATTTGCCCTGAGGACTTGGGATGCATTCACAGCCAGTACAGCTACTAGAAAAGTCTGTTAACGTGTCTGGGGGTGGAGCGGAAATCCTCCAGGGACATCTCTATGAACCTCTCCTGAAGGTACTCCAAAAGCCTTTGCAGAAGGTTTCTGGGCAGTGCAGCCTTATTCCGTCCTCAATGGTAGGACACTTGACCACGCCATGCTAGTAGCAAGTAATCTGGTATCATTGCATGACAAAGCCTGGCAGTCTGTGGTCCCGGTATTTGCTGGCATTCAAGCAACATCCGTTCTTTATCTCGCTGTGTTATCCTCAAGAGAGTGATATTGTTCATGGTAACCTGGTTGAAATACGGGAATTTAATTAAGGGGACAGAGATGGCCATTTGGTTTCTGCAGGGATCTTCCCTGATACCAGCCACGCGGTGGGAAGGAGGGGTAAAGCGATCATCCCAGATAATTGGATGGGTGGTGGGGGGGTTTAGTTTGGTTTCTGCTGCTGCACATTAACAGGAAAACCACAGCACTCGACGGGCTTTGCTTGGTATGGGAAAGGAGGGCGCTGCTTTAATGAAGGTTGCAGAAGCCGAAAGACAATGGCTTACCATGGCTGCATGCAAGCCGAATTCTGTTGCCCAGCCCTGCGTCTGTGATCTCTAACACCAAAGCCGCAGGCACTCAATATAAGATGCAAAATGCGACCTTGTACCGAAATCACATTTGCTATGTAATGTGAATAGTGTTGTTCACTGTGAAAGAGTATAAGCATTGTTCTGTAAAATGTATCTTTTTAAATACTTCTCTCCCTTTTTTCCCTCCCTCCCTCCCTCCCTCCCACAGCTTCAAATTTTTCAAGCCTCCCTCCTCCATTCCAAAGGCTATCTCAGATAAGGCGGCGAAAAAAATGCTCGCGAGACTAAATGTTCTCGGAAATCATGCAATCGACCTGCGATGAAAGAGCTCATCTGAATGAGTGGAAGGACATGGTATCAAAGTACAGGAAAGATGCCAGTGAATATGAGGACAGGAGGGACGCTCGAGATGAGAGGTGGAGGCAGAAAAACCAGAGGAGGCAGGAAGACCAGAGGAGGCAGGATGCTACTGCGGGATCAAACGGACATGCTCCGGCGTCTGGTGGAGCTTCAGGAACGGCAACAGGATCACAGAGTGCCGCTGCAGCCCCTGTATAACCGCCCTCCCCAAGTTCCATAGCCTCCTCACCCAGACGTATAAGAACATGGGGGGGGGAGGCTCCGTGCACCCTGCCACTCCACCCCAGTGGACAGCCCAAGCAAAAGGCTGTCATTATTTTGAACTTTTGAAGTGGCCTTTTCCTTCCCTCCTCCCCTCCTCCTACACCCCATCTGGGCTACCTTGTCAGTTCTCTCCCTCTTTTTATAATCAATTAATAAAGAATACATGATTTTTAAATGATAGTGACTTTATTTCCTTTGAAAGCAAGCTGTGATCGAAAGGGGAGGGTGGGTTGCTTACAGGGAATGAGTCAATCAAGGGGGCGGGTTTTCATCAGGAGAAACAAACAGAATTTTCACACCATAGCCTGGCCAGTCATGAAACTGGTTTTCAAAGCTTCTCTGATGCGCAGCGCTTCCTGGTGTGCTCTTCTAATTGCCCTGGTGTCTGGCTGCACGTAATCAGCAGCCAGGCAATTTGCCTCAGCCTCCCACCCTGCCATAAAGGTCTCCCCCTTACTCTCACAGAGATTGTGGAGCACACAGCAAGCAGCAATAACAATGGGAATAGTGGTTTGGCTGAGGTTTAAACGAGTCAGTAAAGTGCGCCAGCGACCCTTTAAACGTCCAAAAGCACATTCTACCACCATTCTGCACTTGCTCAGCCTGTAGTTGAACAGCTCCTGACTACTGTCCAGGCTGCCTGTGTATGGCTTCATGAGCCATGGCATTAAGGGGTAGGCTGGGTCCCCAAGGATAACTATAGACATTTCAACATCCCCAATAGTTATTTTCTGGTCTGTGAAGTAAATCCCTTGCTGCCGCCGTTTAAACAGATTAGTGTTCCTGAAGATGCGAGTGTCATGAACCCTTCCCGGCCATCCCGTGTTGATGTTGGTGAAACGTCCCTTGTGATCCACCAGTGCTTGCAGCACCATTGAAAAGTACCCCTTGTGGTCTATGTACTGGCTCCCCTGGTGCTCCGGTGCCAAGATAGGGATATGAGTTTCAACTATCGCCCCACCACAGTTAGGGAATCCCATTGCAGCAAAGCCATCTACTATGACCTGCACATTTCCCAGAGTCACTATCTTTGGTAGCAGCAGCTCAGTGATTGCTTTGGCTACTTGGATCACAGCAGCCCCCACAGTAGATTTGCCCACTCTAAATTGTTTCCCGACTGACCGGTAGCTGTCTGGCGTTGCAAGCTTCCACTGGGCTATCGCCACTTGCTTCTCAACTGTGAGGGCTGCTCTCATCTTGGTATTCTGGTGCTTCAGGGCAGGGGAAAGCAAGTCACAAAGTTCCATGAAAGTGCCCTTACGCATGCAAAAGTTTCGCAGCCACTGGGAATCGTCCCAGACCTGCAACACTATGCGATCCCACCAGTCTGTGCTTGTTTCCCGGGCCCAGAATCGGCATTCCACGGCTATAACTTGCCCCATTAACAGCATGATCTCCAAAGCGCCGGGGCCCGCGGTTTGAGAGAATTCTGTGTCCATGTCCTCATCACTCTCGTTGCCGCGCTGCTGTAGCCGCCTCTTCCTCGCCTGTTTTTTCAGGTCCCAGTTC